ATTGAGAGGTTTTTAGGCCTTCCATGTATCTGGAGTATAAAAGTTGAAGCAAAAGAAAAGACTTTTTTAACACAAAGTTTTTCACTTGAGTCTTTGGCAGTGCTTGTTTGGGCTTGCTACTGTCTAAATTTCAAGCTGGATTATAATGTAGTTAAAATACAAAAACCTAGGAACTCAAAATACACAAAGCAACCAACAAAAACAAAATTCCCAAAGCCCCTCAAACAAACAAAATCCCAAAGCAACAAAGACCCCTCCAAAAACACTTCTTGAAGAAAACAGTAAATTGAAGGAAAACATTACAGGTTTTACAGGTTTTTCAATAACCCTGAGTATGGTATTATATAGTTTGTTAATTTATATTACTCTTGACTTATGCTGAAGTTCTGAGTTGACAGCTCTTTAAAGGATTCAGCAGACATAGATTTAAAAGAGATTTGAAAGCTTTACTTTGACATGCAGCTATTTCTGAGTCTAGTTTCAGTTCAGCATTCACTAGACAGAAAAATCAAGTCTTCCTATTCCCAGTTACAGAAAGCTCCAAAGCATTTATTTTTTGGATATGAAAACTCACATTTAGAGGAGAAAAAACCAAACCAAACAACCAAAACATCTCAGTCATGCTGGCATTCTCTGCAAACTTGAACCTATTTGAGCTTGAAGGTAGTTTAAACACCACCTCAATCTGCCCTCTTTACAATATGGGATTTTCCTTTATCAGAAGGGCCTTGATGCAAATTTGATTAATGCCATGTTTGATACATCCATTTGTGTGGAAGAAAGCAAGCATGATTGCTGATAGGTGTAAACTTGAGGTGACAGACCTGTAAGTCTTGTCTTTGGAGCCTGGAGGCAAAGGTTGCAAAACCTTCCTGTCCTGCTGCTGCTGAAACCAAATGTGGCTCCTGCTTCCAGAGGGATTGCAGGGGCTCCTTTGAACACAGGCTTCAGATCCTGCTGCACCCATACCCAGGAGCTGTGGTCTGCAGCTCAGCTGGCTGGTACAGGCTGGCTGGCTAATGGTGTGCATGAGATATGGTGAAATCTGTTTTCTTGTCTAATATGAAGCCAATGTAAACACAAAGTGTTCTGAAGGGAGTTCCTACTTACCAGGGTATTGAGGGGCTTGTTGAATTCAAAATTCTCCTTTAGAAAGCCACTTGATGCTGGGATGTTGCTTTATTCTTTGCCAGCAGCTGAAGTCTTTTTTTGAGCTAGATTCTACTCTCAACTTGAGTTTCCAGCATTGGAACTTTAATTTCATTTTTGTTATTTATTTTTTGGAGCATGTTGTGTCACCTCAGAGTAAGTGCCTGGATCTTCAGGCATTACTGGATTTCAGTGGCAATTTTACAGCTGGAAGGTGAATATCTATGGGATGTGCACATAGCTGCCTGCATGACAGTTCCATAGCCCTGCCAAAAGATGGTAATGCCCCTTAATGTAATAGAGGTGCTGTCTGATCTGTAGAGCAGTTTGCACCTCCCACATTGGCTTCTTCACCTCAGGCAGTGCAAGTGCTTGGTTTGCAGACCCAGCCTGTCCACACAGTCGCTGGATTCTGCACAGGGGGTTCAGGCTGCACATGCAGTTACATTTTGGCCATGCAGCACGTGTGTCCCTCTGCCCAGCTGCTTATTTCTACTCTCTCCATTGAGCCAGCACTAATATTTGTAAGGCTTTGCAGTGAACTGGATCAGGGAAGTGGTTGGATTGAAAAGTACCACGTTTTTAGTGTGTAATCATGGCCTCCAAGATCAGTCATGGCTCTGGAAATTCCATTGAGCTCCACTCAACCCAAACATGTTAAGTGAGCTGTTTGACATTAGGTGAGATGAATTACCTCTCTTATTTCTGTTTGCTGAAAATTAATTTCCTCTTTGTAGTTTTTTCTCCATTAGTGACTGCATCTGTTGTGTGAAAGTGAGAGGGTATGATATTTGAAAGAAATAGTTTCATTATCTCCTGAATAATTTTGTTGCTGCCCTGTATTAGCTACTTCTTAAACAGTAATCTTGGCAAAACAAATTTCTAAAACTATTTAGTGTATAATAAATGTTTTACATAAGTGAAAAAGGGAAATAGTGAATAAATAGTCTTGAAGGTCTAGAAATCAGCTGAAAGGTTTAGTAACATTTTAAAGGAGGGTTTGAGTGGTCCTGTTCAGAGACACTGATCTGTAACATACACTAACCAATGTAATTTAAAATCCACTGGCACAGAAAATCCTGGGTCCAAAGAAACAAAGCTTCCTAGCTCAGTAAATTCCCCTGGAGTTTGGCTGAACAATATAAATTAACAAAAAAAAAAACATTTCCATGTTTTTTTGTCATTTGTCTGGGCTTAACCCCAGGAGGCAGCCAAGCCCCACTTGCTCACTCACCTGCCATGGGGCTGGGAGAGAATTCAAATCAAGCTTGCATAGAATTTTTCCTTAAGTGACTTAAGATCCTGACTTTACAACTTTGCTGTCAGCTTTCAAAATTAGGGTATGTGAATTTTGATTTCTTTTGAAGGCAAGGATACCTATAAGTTGCATGTGGTATCTCAGAGTACAACTCAGTAAAGGGAAGAATAATGACATTTTTCTGGGTGAGTGTTTTTGAAGATGGGGTGTGCAACTGGCAGTCTTGATGAAGGAGTAGCTTACAAAATTTTTTCATCACATGCATAGAAAATGTTCTCTGACTTATGTTATTAATACTTTCAAAAATAAAAATAATACAAGTATGTAAAGTTACAAACTATGAAAATTGAATAAATTATCACATGATAAATTAGAAATATGCATCCTTTGCCAGGTGGAAGTCTGGGTGTCACACTGTAGATACCAAATCCTGTTTTCCATTTTTTGTGTTGAATCAGGATATTGGAAATATTCTACATATTCAAGGCTCTTACATATGTACATTCTTACATATTCAAGGCTCTTCCTATCCAGTGAAGTTTTCTAAAAATATCTATTGCAATCACGAGTTTACATGTGCTGTTTTCAACCCCAGCATTCTCAAAATGACCTAGAGGTAATGGCTGTTTCAACTTTAACCCTGGTATTTGCAAGCAAGCCCTTTACACGATCAATTTGTTTATGCAGAGAGATCAGACTTTGTTACTGCTTCCCAGAGACCTTTGCATCTCACAGACCTGTTTCCTTACAGAGATTATCCCTGGTGTGGCAAGTATTAAATGTGGAAGGGCTGGAGGTTTGGTATCCCTCCATCCCGTGCCAAAAATGAAGCAAGTAACTGATAGCTGCATGTTGGGGTGTTTTTCTTTAATAATCTGACTGATTTCTTTGGGACTGATTTCAAGTTGCTAGGTAAGTTACTCAGTGGGGTATTCACAGTGAGGTGGTGGGAAAAGAGTTCTTGTGAAAATAGACATATTTCAGAGATAACAGGATGTGAGAGAGTAAAACCTGTTTGACCTTAAAACCATAATTACATGAAATGGTGTCATTCTTCTATGTTCCATTCTCTTGTTTTCAGTTTGTGTGTGTTGGTACTTGGGGATAAGAAGGGGGTTATGGAGACTGAATGATTGTATGGGAAACTGAGAAAATCCTCTGCCAATGTCTTTGTGGCACAGGATTTTTGTCAATACTTAGAAGACACAGATCTTTGAGTGGAATCATCATGCTGCATCTACTGCATCTACTCTTGTAACATGTACAGGGCTTTTGTAAAGCAAAAATCTTTCTGTGAATATGAAACAAGCTTCATACTCATTACCCTTTTTATTTTAGGAGCTTTTTTCATTCAAGCAAAGATCAATGCATATTATGTGAAACCTGCCAGTGAAAGCATATGCATGTGCAAACATGCACTGAACACAAGAGAAGCCAGAAGGCAGTTTAGTGCATAAATGCTAGGCATATTTCTTACAGATTTTCTGTGCTTATAAAAAATTAATTGTCAGTATTGTGAATATTAGTATATTTTGAGTCTTCAGAAATTGTTATGTTGTTGCCATGCTTGCTTAAGTACCAGTTAATCATTAACAAGAGTGCTAATGATTAAGCAGCTGTAATTTAATTGTAGTGTTTGAAAGTACAAAAGGGTATGTAATTTAATAGTTAAAACAAGAAGCACTCCATTTATGTTTCACTAGCTATTAGGTTGTTTTTACAGAAATTTAGCTAAAAAGGCTGCTGAATTTTACATATTGATTGTAAACCTGGAAAGGTATGGTGTGGTTTGGGGGATACCAGGCAGCTGTTGCCATGTCCAGAGGTCAGCTCTCAAGCCTTTCCTTTGCTTTCCTGACAGATAATGCCTATTTTGGTTGAGGGTAGACTTCAGTTTTCTCTTAATCTTTTCAAAATCTGTGTGCTGGATGAAGAAGTGGTACTTGGAGAGATGTGTATGTGATTCAGCAGGGAACACTGGGTGCAAGAAGCCCAGTGCCTGCTGCAACCTGCTCCCACCCACCAGCACAGTGGGCACACAGTAACATCCCTGTTGTCTGTAACTGGAAATCATGGATAAATTCACATACTAACTCTCCTACATATTCCTGCTTGCTGCACTATGTGACATAGAAATGATTTTCCTTTTCTGGATAAAACTATCCTGTTTCAAAGAACTGGGCAAATAAATCTGTACTAATGGTATTTGCAGAATGAGATGGCAACTTAGTAACAGTGACAGCATTGCCTTTATTTCTCCTGCTCAAGAAAAGTGAGGAGAATATTGATATTTGTTATAAGTTTTGGTGGGAAGTGCATAATGCCTTCTGTAGAAACACTTTTCTCAACAATGGAGAGAAAACAACCATCTACAGATTGACCTTGTCATAGCTTTCATTCATCTTGAAGTATTTGGGGGAATTTTCCCCACCCTGTGCTCCTGATGATTCATGTTGCATAAAGCTTCCAGAGCAATACAATGTTGTATAATATTTCACTTTTGGATTGGAAATCCAGTATTCAGTGTGCTGCAACTGGTTCAAATATTTTTTCTAATTATCTGATTTTTTTAAAAAAATTATTCTTTCACCAGTATAAAGAAGTTTAAGTGACTGCTCTACTTGATCAAAATGGTGGACACTGAAAACCAGCTCTATCCCCTCACTCCCTTGGAGGAGGAGGATATAGACAGCCCTTTATCTGGAGAGTTCCTACAAGATATGGAGAACATTCAAGACCTGTCCCAGTCTCTAGGTGATGATAGTTCTGGAGCTTTAAGTTTAACAGAATTCCAGTCACTGGGAAATGGTCCAGGATCTGATGGATCTGTTATAACAGGTAAGAGTTTGGTTTAACATAAAACTTTCTTTTATAAATAGAATGGTAGAAATTAATAACTACTTTAATGCTGTAATTATTGTTTATGATGAAGTTATAATGTGCTTTATGTGTGTATTTGTTTATAACATTGTTCTTCAGAGGCTTTACAATTATTTGAGTGTAGGTCAAGGTACAAGGCCTATAATAATTCAGATCACCTTCTCATGGAGTATTCAGTGCTCACTGCAAAATGTACTGGTTTTGTGGTCAGAGAACATGCAGAATGTAAGCTTTCAAGGCTCAAATTCCATAAGGCAAGTAAAATGAAATAGCACTTTAAAAAAATCCTGGGGTTTAGGCTGTTCTTGATGACTCTGATGCCTGTGGGCTTGGCAGCACTGGCAATGGAGACTCTGAGTTCCGTGCCAAGGTTTTTTTTTTTCCAACATAATACTTGCTGACCTACATTCATGAGTGTTTCTTAATCTGTCTGTTAAAATAACACACCCATTAATTTGCTGAAGTCTTGTGGTGCAAGTTGCAAGATGGAAGATAAAAGAAATTCTGGCCTCAGAAAATATTTTCCTCAAACAAGGTGGAAATATTAATTGAAATAATTAAGGTTGGAACGTGTTAGTTTTGTAATGTGTTCATCCACTGGTGGCACGTCTGGCGAGTTTATTTCATTGTAGGATTCAGAAATGCTTTGCCCATTAGAAGAAAAACACAAAATATCTGAGCCAGGCTATTTTAGAATCAGGCATTTGTGTTACCTTCCTTTTAACAGCTGTTCAGCCTTTCTGCTGATGTGCAGGACTCATCCCTCTGCTTTTCAGCCCTCAGTTTAGATTGTCATTTAAAATTATGAGCAGCTTTCAAATGTCAGGAGTCCTTACATGTATCTGAAGTGTATCTGAGTGAGGTAAGAATGTGTCTCTTGTGGTGCTGCAACAAGAGATGCCCTGCTCATCCCTGCAGCACAAGAGATGGAAGATGCAAAGCCAAGATGAGCTGTTCACAACTTTCTGCCAAGAGCAGTGGTGTGGTGTGTATTTATTGGCTCCATTATCACCCAAGTAGTTCTTGTTGCCAGAGTCACTTCAGTAAGGCCTTTTCCTTTTTCACATCCCATGTCACACCAAAATTAGCAAGGTACACTCTGTATTTTTTGTGTGTTTGCACTGGAAACGTAAATTATGTTTCAAAGAATTATGATCAAACATTAGTTCACTTCATGACTATTAACACAAGATTATTTTTTAGAATAAGCTCATTTTTTGTGTGGTTGTTAGAATAGAAAATATATCAATCTTGTTAGCATAGTATTTATGAAGTGTTCCTTTTTTTTTTAGACACCCTTTCACCAGCATCCAGTCCTTCATCCATTAATTTTGCCACAGCTCCAGGTGGCATAGATGAATCATCCAGTGGAGCACTAAACATTGAATGTAGAATTTGTGGGGATAAAGCCTCAGGCTACCATTACGGAGTACATGCTTGTGAAGGTTGTAAGGTACAGTCATCATTTTCTTCTTAAGAACCTCAATCATGTTACTTTATTTATGGGGTAATGTGAAGATAAACATTTGCTATATAAATGTTTTCATTACTATAGCTCTAGCCATTACAATTCCTATCTGTGATCTTTTTTCTGAAGTAAGTCATGCAGATACCATAACTCAGACCTTCATCAAGCAGGAGCAATTCACTGTGATAATTTTAATACTGCTTTTCTGTATTTAGTTAGTGAAATACTAAAACAAAACACTAAACTGTGACCAAAAAAAAATAAATCTAAACCTTCTTGCTCCACTACCATTTTGTGTTGGGAGTATGGCTAGGAGGAGTATAACACATTCCTGTTATAAAACCAACAAATCCTGAATTTCTCACCTCCACCACATGCTGCCTGAATCCCTTAGTCTTGTACCTCTTGTAGTTTTGGGTCCAGGGCATGTCTCTAGCACAAATTACTCTTACCATTAATGCATAATTCTTGAGATTATATAACCCATGAACAATAAGATTATATTATTTTTCCTTTAATGTTGTATATTTCCATCTCTTTTCTATATTAGAAGGTAAGAGGAGAGAAATAACAGTCTTTGTGTACGGCTTTCTTTCATGCATCATGTCAGCATGATCATTTGAATGTAAATCTTATGGAATAATGCAGAATTTCTATTAGAGATGTAACCAGTTCCTAGCCAGGTGTGTCCCACAGCCTAAATGACATGTTGCTCTGTGGTGTGACACAAAATGTTGAGATGGCTCTGGATTTGCTGTGCCTGTGTGTGAGCAACCTTGCATTGCAGACTGGAGACATCCTGGAAAGCAGTGGAGGTAGAGGCTGTTCTACAATAAATGGTAAAAGAAAAAAAATCACCTGTATGATCAAAGCTTAGTAGTCACCATTCATTAACATTGTTTTTTCAAACTTTTTATAGGGCTTTTTTAGAAGAACAATTCGTTTAAAACTCATCTATGATAAATGCGATCGCAACTGCAAAATTCAGAAAAAAAATCGTAACAAGTGCCAATACTGTCGTTTTCAAAAGTGCCTTTCAGTTGGAATGTCACATAATGGTAGGTAAGAGTGCCCTTCATTTGTTTGCTCCTACCCAGAGTCTGCTGCTGGAGGCAGGCACTTGGATAGCATTTTTACTCACACACATGAATTGAACCTCAGATTTTTTACAGGGTAGGTCGCTGTGGGGGTGCCAGTTTCATGTGGTTGATACAGAGCTGCCAAATGTGCTGTTATGAGCTTTACACAGTTGTGCTACATCTCACTTTGTCCATATGAATGTTCATTTATTTGCTTTTCCTCACCCCAGAACTTTGGCACCAGTACTCTCATTGAAACAAATTTCAATCCTGGAAGAATTCTGATTGAGGGTTTTGTAGAAGAGTAGGAGGAGAACAACTGCTTTCATTGTGAGAGGGAGTGATGTAGGATAGAAATCTGTAGGAAAGCAGCCTTCATTATTTTTCAGGTTACAGTGCAACAGCTCTTGGGCAGATGGTTCAGAAAGTGAGGAGGGAGGGCAAAGGTCTATGCTGACTGTGCAACAGGAATCTGCTAGGTTGTTTGTTAAACAGAATGGTTTAAAATTCAGAGCATTTAGATATCCAGTTTAAAAGTTATGTTGTCTATTGTGCTAGTGATTTAAGATAAGGGTGGCAAGCTTGTGGCTTACAGACCAATTTCAGCCCACAAGGCAGTTCTCTGTGCAGGACAGAGCTTGCTGAGCAGCACCAGTGAAGAGGGAGAGGCCAAGCCATGACAAAGCACATCTCACCAGGCCAGATGACAGTGGTTTTCCCTGCTTGGCTCTGATATTGTCCAGGCTGAACCTGAGGGCAGGTGCAATGTGAAAGTAGGTAAAAACACTGGGATAGGTGAAAAGCTGTGGATTAGGAGACAAATTTCCTAAGGAAACTATGCAGTTGGGATGGGAACATGACCAAGGAAGCTGCTTGTGACATTGTAGTCTAGAGTCCCAGCAGGAGGCACTGGGAGAGTTTACCCTCTGGTTCTGCTGAAGCCTGGCTCTCTTGCAGTGAGCTTTGACTGAGATTGAGGTGCATTGGGAGAGGGTTGGTAGTCTCTGTGAGACTGGGGATAACCATCCTCAAAAAGTGTGCTGGACAACAAAGTAACATCTCAGGTTGGGAGCTGAGCAGGGAGCAGGGCTGGTTGGCAGGAACTGATATCCATGTGAAGCTGTTTCATCCTACTAAAAACTCTGTGGCCACCTGGGCTCCAGTGGAAGGGAATAGCCACAGTTTTATTGCAGCAAACATGTGGGAAAGGGAATGACTGCTGACTTGCTGGCAATACTTCTCAGGAAAAGCACTACTGAATTTACACCCATGTGTAAGGTCTTAAAACTGTAAGTTTTAGTTTAGAGCAGGTATTCTTCCACTTTTTCAACAGGTTAGTGTGACCACCCGCCCTTAAGGGGAAGGAAGCACCTAAGCCACATTCCAAACAGGCTTTCCTTGTTGGGCTTCCATTGAATCCACAGCTGTATTTCAGATCATGCCTAGAGTCACCTCCTTATGTCATGAGAGGATCCCCTGGGCACATTGAAGGGCTGATGGTGTTCATGCCTTGAATTGCTCAGTGTAAGCAGTGAGGTCCTGTCCTCACTGAAATGCTGAAATGCAGTACAAGCAACTCCCTGTATGAGCCATCCCAAACCCTTGCACACCTCCCAAGGGTAAAATGGGGCTGCCTTAGCTTGAAACTGAAACTGAAGAAGTACCCATGAATGGCAACACCACTTGCCCAAAAACCAGGAGACCTCCATACCCAGAGGTGTTTCAGCCTTGCATCTTCTGCCTCTCAGAAGGATATCCCAATGACTGGATTGGATATTCAGACTGTTCTCCTCTCCAGTCCTGCAGGGCTAGTCTGTTGGGAAAGCAGTATGGAGTGTGGAGGTCTTTGGGGTTCCCACTGGCAGTACAGATGTGTTGAGTGAAGAACTGGATGCCCCTGCAGGTTCTGAGCCAGCAGTGGGATTCAGGCTCCATTGCAGCTCTCCAGCTCTTGTGTGTGCTTTCTGCCAAGCTCCTGTCACGAGTTTATTTAGTGTTTTAAGAGCTCCCAAGGTGGACTTTGAGTTTCACACTGGGAGCTGTAGAACTCAGTAAGGAGAAAACAAAATACAAGTATATTTAGGTAATGCGGAAGGGAAAAGGAATGTGTTCTAGCCCACTGCAGATAGCACTTTGTGTTCTGAAACACCTGATTTCCTTCACTTAGCATATTAGTCACTGACTGTGTTGGGAAGGGGGCAATGTCTTCACCTCTACCTCAGTTTTTCCAGAGAGAAAAATCTTACTGCTCTGATCAGCAATGGTAAAAGGCTTAAGTTCTTGTATGATTTGTGTTTGTTTTACAATTCTGTCTTCCCATCAGCAATACGTTTTGGACGAATGCCGAGGTCTGAGAAGGCCAAGCTCAAAGCAGAAATTCTGACAGGTGAAAATTATGTAGAAGATTCAGAAATGGCAGATCTCAAATCACTTGCCAAAAGAATTCATGATGCCTACCTGAAAAACTTCAATATGAACAAGGTTAAAGCCAGAATCATCCTTGCAGGGAAAACCAATAACAATCCAGTAAGTACTTTTTCTGTTACTTTAAAATAAAACTGACAGGTATGTAAGGTGATTGTAGTAATTTGGTAGACACTTTAGCAAATCTTTTAGAAAATAAATATCATGAAATAGTCAAAGCAAATATCTGTAGTAAATATGGTTGCTTTTAACCACTATCAGAATAATAAGATGCTTTAGGAAAATCACGTCATTACCTTGTAAATGGAAACTCATAGCCCTAAATTATTGCTCTTAATAAAAAATGAAGTGATATCGGAATGTGAATACCTCTTGATATGGGGAGAACAGTTCAAAATTTTTTCCTATTATGACAGTGAAAAAAATGTAATTTTTTGCCACAAATGCCAGGATAAGTACTATTAGCTTGTAGGGTGTACAGGTACTCTGCATGACTTTTCCTTTAATCAGAATAATATTTATAGCAGGAGGGGAAAGAAAACTTGAGTTTGTAATTTTTTGTTCACAGTGCTGGCCATTTCCTCACCCAGCCTTCCTGGTCTTTTCTGTATGGTTCCTTTGAAAGGCAGAAGCAAGCAAGGTTGTGAAGACACATTTGCTGTAGAAGTTATTTTTCTTTCAGGGTAATTTAGCCAAGGTCTACCTAATTGGATCAACTGCTTTTTTTAAGTAGCATATAAGCGAGTATAATTGATGTAAGGACTTGCTTGTTTCACTTTGCATATTTATTTAAGCTCTGCTGTGATCTATGTTACTTTTATGTAAAAGGTAATTATCTTATATTATCAGCAACTTCAGTTTCAGTAAAAATATGCAGGGAAGAAACTTTACATATGCCATAATGAAAACCATGTAAGTGTGGGGATCAGTGTTATCAAAATGGTAAGCAAGCTGTCTTCTGCATTATGGAATTTGGCATGTAATAGTCTAGCCTAGCCTAGCCTACAGCTTTCTGCATTAGCAGAGAGACACATGAATTATCCCAGCCTTTCTCGATGCACTGAGAGGTGTGCAAAATGCAAACAGACTGCTATCAATTTTTTACATATGCAGGGAAGAGCAAAGGGGTTTTAGACTATTGCATACTCTCTTAAGAAAAAAAAAATTTCTTTTTCTTTTGATTTTTCAGCAGAAAAGCAAATGTTAAAATAAGGTGGTTTTTTTTGATTGTAATTAGCAGCCCACCTGTTTCAGAACTGTGTATTAACAGCTAATTTCAGTGAATCCTAATTTTTGGCACCACTACAATTAATTTCAGAATGAATGAGCATTTTTCATGATGACAAGGTGTCATTTTTTAATTTAGCTCCCAAGTCCTTAGCCATGCCTCTTTTCTGCATCCTGAAATGATGTTAAATTTTTTAAAAAAGTAGATAGCATAGAGATAGCATACATCTTTTAAAGGTTTAGAGATGTGTTGTGTTTCTTGCTTTGCCATTTTCTACTCATATCCACCTTCCCATGGAAAGTTCTGCTCTGTGTAACGGTGCTGGAGTGAGATGGAATGTCCAGTAAAATAAACATTTTAAAATGGAAAACCATAGGAACATGAGCTGTTGGACAGTTTTCTGAAGGAAACAAGTGAATCCTATGAGTTTCTGACAGAACTCATGTGTTCCCCATGCTGTTTAATCTGAGCTGAGCAAAGCAGCACAAGGAAGGTGCTTGGTGTGTATGGAACTGAGGTTGCTGTTCAAGGTCAGTTGCTGTGAGTTTGCTAGGCTGGGAAGCAACTGGGGTTTGTTGTTTTTCTTTAGTGGATTGTATTTCATTTTGGTTGTTGCCCTGCAGATATATATCAAAATATTTTTCAGTTCTGATTGTTCATAAGAAAGTCTGAATGCTGCTTTTGATAATGATGTTTTAAGAGAGTGGCTCATCTGTTTGTAAAGCATGTACCTTTCAAAACAAATGGGATTATGGGATTTTGTGCTTTGCATTCTAGTAGGATTCTCTGTTTGGAGATGACTCAGCACCAACTGCAGCTAGAAAGTTGGGACAATTGGGACATTGTCTATGAGAATCTGATAATAAAACACAAGAGAAGTGCGGGGTTCACATTCTTAAGCAAATATGCTGCCCTGTATTGAAATTACTGCCTGTAATTTCCCCCTAGGGCACTTCAGGAAAGCATCATGATGTGCATCAAGTGTAGTTAGTTTAGGAATCAATAGGAGCTTAGGCAGAATAACCTGGACTTCTGGAGAAGGTAATCCAAGTCTTTTGTGAACCCTCTGGGACTGGCTCTGAGATGGATTTGTGCATCCTAAGCACAGGAGTGCTGGAGCTTCACTGGAACTATTAGATAAAACTAAATTAAAGATATGTCATACATCTTTACGTCTGACTATTTGCTATTTGCAGAGCAGACTTGTTAGGTATAGCAGTTTGTCATACACTGCATTGATGACAAAGTGGTAGTTGAGGACTGAATAGCATGGAAGTGAAAATTTAGCAAAATTCTTATTTTTTAGGAAGAACCCGATTAATAACCATTATTTAGTGACTGAACTAGTGGGTTTTTTCCTCTGTAGCCATTTGTTATCCATGATATGGATACCTTATGTATGGCAGAGAAGACCCTGGTGGCCAAGCTGGTGGCCAATGGGATTCAGAACAAGGAAGCCGAGGTTCGGATCTTCCACTGCTGCCAGTGCACGTCTGTGGAGACTGTCACCGAGCTCACAGAATTTGCCAAATCCATCCCTGGCTTCTCCAGCCTGGACCTGAATGATCAGGTGACACTGCTGAAGTATGGGGTGTATGAAGCCATATTTGCCATGCTGGCCTCTGTGATGAACAAGGACGGGATGCTGGTGGCTTATGGGAATGGATTTATAACCCGGGAGTTCCTGAAAAGCCTGAGAAAGCCATTCTGTGATATAATGGAGCCAAAATTTGATTTTGCAATGAAATTCAATGCACTGGATTTGGATGATAGCGATATTTCCCTTTTTGTTGCTGCCATTATTTGCTGTGGAGGTAAGCATGACCCATTTGTTCTCTAAGGTAGTAAATTTTAATACTTCCCTCTTGTGAATTAAAAATTTTAATGGAAAACTTCTATCCTCTGGAAGATTCAGTTCTACCACTAACTACACTTTGAGGAATCATTATAAAATTATGACATGTATTCTTTTGCTTGTTTTGAGAACAGATCGTCCTGGTCTTGTAAATGTAGGACACATTGAAAAAATGCAGGAGAGCATTGTGCATGTACTGAAACTTCACTTGCAAAACAACCATCCTGATGACACCTTCCTCTTCCCAAAACTTCTCCAAAAAATGGCTGACCTCCGACAGCTGGTCACAGAGCATGCTCAGCTTGTTCAGATAATCAAGAAGACTGAATCTGATGCACATTTACACCCTTTACTACAGGAAATCTACAGGGATATGTATTAAGGACTTCTAGTATTTTTTTCCACAATATTTAAAGACAGAGAAATACAGATGGGAGCAAAACTACTTGTACAGTTATGGGCTGTTCACTCAGCCCAGAGCAGGAAAAATCTAAAACTGGGGAACTGGAGTGTTACACTTCTTTTGGTTTGGGATCTTTTGTCTTCTTTTGAAAAAGTGCTGCAGAAAAATATTGGTCAGAGTGCTCAATGAAGTCTCTTACAATGGTTCTTTTATTTGGAAATTTGAAGATTGGTAAGGAATACATATTTGTATAATAAATCAGAATGTTAAGTAACAGAAATGAACAAAATTGTATTTCCTCTTGGCTTAGTCATTTTAGTATTAATGTAACAAATTCAGCACCTTCCTTCCAGGTATCTGCACAATCAGAAAGACAATGCACTTTTGCCTAATGGTAACTACTGAGAACCAGCTAACACTTTTTCTTAAAGCATTCAGTCTAGGTGTAGCAAATGGCTGGATATTACTGTCCATACACTTCTAAAAAATTGGAAAGATCCTTCATCCATTGTTGCTTTAATTCCATGAAATGATGTACAGCTTCATCTACTGCTATGTGGGCATACTTAGGGTGAGCAGGTTTAAAAGACAGTTGTCTTATGAAATGAAACAAAATCCAAAGAGTCATCTAAAAGACAGCAGAGATGCTCCAACAGGTGTGTCTTGAAGAGTAAACAAGATAAACTGATGAGACCTTTTTGTTTCAAAAGTCTGTTAAGGAAATGTGCAAATATCACTGATGATAAAGAGATTATATACCCTGTATTTTTGTACAACTTGTAATAGCTCAGGACGCAGTTTTGACATAAAAATGCTATTTTGAATTAGCAAGAGTTTTGGAGAGACTGAAAAATCTGATCCTACCCTAGGAAAAAAAAGAATTTTAACTTTCCATCAAGGATACTGCACTCTACTGCAGTGATAATGACTCCAAAGGAATGATTGGATAGGAAAGGCATTGGCTTCTTCTAAGTGTCTTGGCAGTATAATTGTTTGGAGCTGTTTGCTTTTCTGATGAATGCACTGCTTCATTTTTTACCCTCTTGGATATATTTCTATTCCTTCTTTGGCCTCATGGATAGAAGTATTTGGTACTTGTTTTCACCAGATGTTGTCCTTGTGGATAAGGTGACAGTAAGACCAAGAGCAGTGTTTGTAGGTGTCAGACTGTGTCATAGAGTGGAAAGCACAGCTGAGAGTAAGTTTATTGTGTTCCTAGGAGTAAACTGATTTTTTTTTGCTGTACTCCTGCTGCAAAAGCAGCCACAATGAAATGGCTTCCTGACTTTGCCACCTCATGGGCTCTTTTCTCAGAGAGCTGCCCAGAAGTGCCAGCTGCATGCCAGGCACTCTGCTGTTTCTCTTTCATTTCCTTGATACAGTAACCTCACATTATCACCACATAATTTCACTTTCTGTTTCACAACAACGAGGTTTCAGGAGCAGTGCCAGCATTTTCACTACAGTAAAGCTTTCAGTGGCACAGGAGGACACTTTGTATTTGTTTTATTGTAGCACGTTTGAAGGCACCAGAATCTTCACTGCAAGCATTGAGTGATGGAGTGAGAACATCACCTTGTCATTCCTATTTCAGTGGCAATGCTTCTTTCTGTCCAGGCACACAGGCACAGCTGAACACTGGAAAAATTACAGGTTTAAAGGCAACTTTTTGGGGTTTATCTGTGGCAGAAGTTATAGATAATTACAGATATATTTAGTGTGATATATTGAAGCACAGGCCTCAGATTTGGTGAGCATCTAGGGCAGGATAGAAATAGTAACTGCATGTGCACAAAACTTCCTCCCTTTCCCTGTTGCCAGCAGGAAGAACACTCAAACACTCAGAGAGGAATGTTGGTCTTGCCAGGAACCCTCAGATGAGAAATGGGCTGCCTTTTGTGTCCCAGAGCAGCACACAGTGTGCCCTCAGAAACAGAGGATTTTAGGAATGCTGCTGCTTTATTCTTCCAGCCAACCCTGTTTCACTGGGGAGCTGTGGGGTTTGGGCCATGGAAATAATTGATCTGAGATATTGCTGATGCAAGAAGCTGTCAAAATATCAGCCATTCTGAGATGCTGTTCTCAAACTGTAGGAGCCAACTGCTAGTTTATCCTCTAAAAAAAAGGATAACTTGAAATATTTTCCCCCCAAAGGTCAGATTTTTTGCCAAGGGCAAATTTCAAAGTTGTATCCCATAGTCTAAGTGTACTGTAGGTTCTCAGGAAAAATCAGATACAGTCAGTGTGCATAACTATTTTTCCAGCTCTTGTTCTCAAAAGTGGCTAAAACACTTTAGTAACACTTTAAACCATGGAAAATTAATAATAAATACTTAAATTCTCAGCAAAGCTATAAAGAATGGCAAATAGAGTAACTCAGTGAAAGACATAATATTTAGCTGTTTGAGCAACTGCTTGTGATAAGGTCCTGTTATTAGTATGAGAATAATGAATAATTTTTTTGTTATTTGAAAACTAGCAAGAAATTTTTGACTACTTCCTTGGACATTAAAGGTTTGATTTCTGTTTTAAATTAAATTTCAGACCCTGAATGAAAAAAAAAAAAAAGAAAAGAAAAAGAACACATCTCTGAATTACAGAAATATGAACAAGATGTTAACACAGCCTAAAATTCTGGATGGATTCCACTGCCCACACTGCTGTCCCGTGCATATTCCCACAGTCACTTCAAAGAGTGGCACAGGGCACACAATTCCCTTCCCAAGAATGAATGGGCAAAAGAATTTCTCATTTCTACATTATGCTTTTAAGGAATTACATTTGCTCCTTCAGGAGATGACTACAGCAGGTTTTGGCCAAGGAGGTTTTAAAGTTACTCAGTTTATGTCCATTTTTTTTAAATTTGGAATGCAAACTAGTCTCAGATGTATTTCTGACCAATTACTTCAGCAGCTCCTCTATGTGCAGATAAACTAATAGTTTTAAATACCCCACCTATGGAGGAAAGCAAATTGATCAGATTTTAGGATTAAAATGGATTAAAGGTTTGCTGGCTCATCAGGTACAGTTTGGATCTGATTCTTGCCAACAGAACTCATTTTACTGTCATAGCATGGAAAAACTGTGGTTAGCAACCAGACCCCACAAACAGCTCAAGGCAAGAGACAGCAGATGGATAGAGAAATATCCTGGGAAACAATGGTATGGCTTAAGTTTTCAGCAAACCTACAGATTACTCATTTTTGAGCATTGTTTGGAGGGAAAATATTTATTTATTTATTTATTCTGGTGCCCTAGGTACTTTTTGGCAAAGGGGAAGGGGGGAAGGAAAGGAAGGTTTTGTGCCAAGTGTAAGGGAAATCTGAGGTTCATTCTTGTCTCCTCCTTAAATATTTCCTTTAAAGCTGCTGTTTAAAAAAAATGAGTTACTTTGTACCTTTCAAAATTTCCGATCCCACTTTTGCTTTAAACACAAACTGTCACCTGATAGGAAAGTTTCCATTTACAGAAACGACACCTTGCATTGCATTTAAAGAAAGCACATTTTGTGTTAGCTGCCATTTCCATGTGCCTTTGTGCTCTGCTTCCAGCAGCTGCTGCAGAGCCGAAGGGCTGCCAGGCAGCAGAGTTTTGCATTATTCCTGCCCCGTGCAGATCTCGGAAATACCAGCAGTTGCACTAAGCCTGTTCTCATGAGAGAGCTGGCACGGGGCTGCACATCAAAGAGCTTATAATAAGCATCCAAACATTTGTTTGTTTATCCAAACTGCTGAAACCTGGGGAGATTTATTCATCACGAGAGCTGGGTCACATACGACTGAGTTTGAATTTCCTCATTGCTGACGGAAAGCCTGGACAAAGTTGGGCCCCATGTGAGGCAGAGCAGCTGGGGGATATCCTGCTGTGGCTGCAAGGAACAGTTTCAGTCTCTCCTAAAAAGCTCCCTGTGGCTTCACTGAAAATCTGCAACTGCATTTGACAAATGCATTTGCAGCTGTCATGGTACTGCTTCAGCATAAGGTCTGCACATAATGGTCCCTCTCAGAAAGCCCTCGTCCTTTAGGAAGTGTTGGAATGTAAGGTGCAGCGTGGTATCTGTGCTTGCTTCTGGCCCAAGTGCTTTCCTGATAATCAGTTGCATATAATTTTTGTATTTAGGTTTAATCAGCTTTATTTTCCTTCTTTTACTGGAGATTTAAATAATATGTGGGTTTGATCTAAGATTATTGATATTGTTATGTGTTGTGGGATTTTTTTAATTTAATGTAATACCATTTCTTCATGTTTCAATTTATAAAATACAAGAATATAAATGCAAGGTATAAACTTTCACTAAATTAATTACAGAGGTGCTTAAAGAAAAATGTGTAAATTATTTAATTTAAATATTTGTTACATACTTTATCTTGTGAACCCTTTGTACAGTGAGGAAGTATTTCCTTTTATGGGCTAAGGATGAAGGGGCTGACGTCAAAGACAATTTGTTATTTATTCCTGTCTGGTCTTTATTGCTGTATCATTTTTGAAGAACTATCACAAATTCTTCAGAGTTATCAGTGTTTGGTGTTGACCATTGTAACAAAACTTTAAAATATATTTTCACATAGAACACAGACTTTCTTTTATTTAATTTTAATAAAAGCAAGTCTAGCTGAGGAATAGCTGCAATCCCAAAACTGAGTTTTTAACTCAAGTTCACCAATAGGAAAAATCATGTGTAGAACTGAGTTCATCTTTGGATGAACCAAGGAAAATGGTAGCTCATTTTCGTTTGAAAAGAGCTAAAAAGAAGCTGCATTTGGTTTGTTCACCGGTGCTGGTGTTTTCTGTGGAGCTGACTTGTGGCTCACTGGGAATAACAACGTGTACTCAGGATTATTCCCTGCCATCTGCCCTGAGGGCAACCTGCTGCATTTATAGATGTATTTCAAACATGATTTGGCAGCACAAAACAAAGCGTTGAAATGGCATTATTGGCTTCCCTGCAGGAGGGATTTGAAATAAAATTCAGAGTCTGCTTGTAGGGATTCTGTGTCTGGTGCACGTAGGTGTGACAGTCTGTGCCTACAGCATCCTTCTTAGGAAATCTGATAGGAAATAAGGTACCTTTCAAAGGTATCTCCCTTAAATTTGCTGTGTGAATCACCAAACACAGTAGGTACCAAGAGCACAATCTATTACAAATGTTCTAGCTATCATTTGTACTTACTTGCTTTTTATTTGTAACATGTAACACTTTATTTCCTCAAATTGCTGCAACTTGGCATTTTCACTTCATCAGTGTCACCACACAGGTATGTTGTCCCCTGAGGTGTTTGTGTCATGTTTGCAAAAGCTCTGCTGGACTTGCCTGTGCTGACCTGCAGCCACTTCCTTTACCCTGTCACCTCATGTGACACAAACCCACTGTGGAACTGAGCCCACCCTAAGGAAGGCTGTTTCCTCCTTTCTTTTTCCTATTGTGCTCACAGGTTTTTTTAAAATCTTTTTTCTGCTTCTGAAGCTGGGCTGTGTTTTTTTCTTGAGCTCCTTTATTGCGTCAGTCTCGCCAGATTCCATTGCTGCGGATGTTTCGAAACAGAATTCCTGCTGCAAGGACCTCAATTGCAGATGAGCTGCTGCTGCCAGGGGATAGGCAGCGTGCACAAGAGACTGATCTGATTCCAGGCTGGAACTTAAATAAGGACTGCAAGATCAAGCATGAGGTACTTGAAGCAGTAGTAATATTTTGGTGTATTTTCTCACGTTGGTATGCAGGTGGTCCCTGTTGTGGTAAAGACACCAGCCTTGTGTTCAATGCCAGGAGTTTCATGGCATTCTTTCCACTAGAAGGAAGAAAGCTTGGCAGGATGGGGAAGTGCTGAGCCACTGCAATCCCGGTGGCACAGCAGTCCGTGCGTGTAGGAGTGCAGTGTCACCCGGCAGCCTGTGTGGGACGTGCTGCAGAGCTGGGAGCAGGTCACCACCCTCCTGCAGGTGACTCACGGCCACCCCTGCTCACCTGCAGCGCTCCCGTGGCTCATCCCCACACACACAGCAGCTCTCTCCATGGAATCACAGTGCCTTGGCCTTGTGCAGAGCAGAAACCTGCATGGTTCAGTTACTGCTTTAGTAGTAACGAACCTAACCAACGTTTCAGTGCTATCAGTGTGCTCCAGAAACCTCAGAGTGGTTTGACAAAGTCTGCCTTAGCAGATTCTCGGGGGACCTGCCTCCTGAGCAGCTCCTGCTGTTCCACAGCTCCTAAAAGAGTTGCTCAGAATTTTCTCTAGGAATGCAGCCCCACAGGTTCAGTGCCCCGGGATGTTGAAACCCTTCCTCGCCTTTTAAATGGTCTGTTATCTGTGTCTCTTAGGACACAAAAGAAGCACAGTGTCGTTAATGTTGCCATGCCCTAATCAATAGAGCCAACAAGTGTTTCATTAAATCAAGATATCAATTTTAAAGAGAAAACAAAATAGCTTATTGTTTCCAGTCAGCTTTGAGGACATTGGACTTCAGTAAATACAGAATGTAGAAGGAGCACATTTCTTGCAAGGAATAGTCAAACCTAATTCTCATGGAATGCTTGTTTCCCAGTAAAAACCACTAATTCAGGCCAAGTTCCCAAGTTTCTCTCTGTTAGAACAATGCAAATGACACTTCCAAGGATGAATGGATGCCCTGGTCTCGCAGGGATTTTTAGGAAGGACAACATATCTTGCACTTGTGAATGTTAAAGTCACATCTAGCTACACACGATGATGCATTCTCAAACGTTACCAGCCTACTGATCTAGGATGAAAAAACTTGAACTAAACATTTTTTTTTCTTTTTTTACATTCTGATTTTTTCTGCCTTCTTTAAAAACAAGAGGTTGAATTCACAGTGTTTGTATAGAGACTGTAGGAACCTATGTGCTTTAATCCTTTCAGACTGAATGTAAACCAACTTAATTTGAAACACGGTTTTGCCTTAATGGTTTTAAAAAAATAAAATATTTTTAAAAGTGAATTTAATGACATGTGATGATCTTTTATCTCCAGGAAAGGAACTCACTGCAATGGGACATTCAAAAGGCAGCCTATTTGAAGCATCTTCAGGTACTGATGCTTCCCTGTGTACTCTTAGATGCCTTTTGAAGCAAGAGTGGTTGTGTAACGTACCCAGAGACGTGGCATATACATTTATTTATATATATTTCAGAAGTTTGGTGTTCACCCATCATCCAGCTATGATCTTCCATATTCTTATGGGTTGTATGGCTGGTTTGAGACATTCATGGAATTCAACAAGAGCACTTCTGTGTGAAATGCAGCACTGAGTAATTCAATGAGCACATCTTCAATTAAATCAGGGAAGTGTGTCACAGGTAGCTGTTTTCCTTCCAGAAAGGAAAGCTGTTTTCCTTCCAGAATCTGGGGATATTTTAAGCTGGTAACAGAGTGCTGAAGTGAAAATTACAGCAGAGGAAAACTACTCTGGTTTCTTCATCATCTGTGCTCAGGAGCATGGAAGACCTGATGTTGAGCAGCAGAAAGTACTTGAAGACCCCAATGAAAACAACCAGGAAAGGCTGGCCATGGTATCATTCAGGCTGTGAAATCACATATATACCAAAATACAATGATACTGAGACCATAATGCCCACGTTCAGTGGGAATGCAAGAATATGGGATAACTAAATTCTAACAGCTGGGCACAGATAATAATCCATTGTCATTCCAGGAAATACCAAGTGGAATGTAGGGCAGTCTCCTTTCCCTAAAGCATAAACCAGAGATGCCAGAACACATCTGCTGTCCCTCTGTGGTACCTGCTGCCTTTTCTGCACCTACCAGGTCTTCGCTGCCAGGTAACTGTGAAGGAGGGGCATCCCTCACTTGATTTTCCCTGCTGCACAATAAAGAACTGAGCTGTACTGAGCCAAATTAAATATTATATAATTATGCTTTGCTGTTCTGCTCCCTTTTAACCCTGAGTCCTTTCACCCTTCAGTTCAACATAACAAGTTCTTAAAGGCATGGAAATTTCTGAGGGCTTTAAATGACTCCTCAGTCATATTGTAAAGGCAAATATAATTGTTATGAATAAATGAGATAACTGCTTGTGCCTTAAAAGGGCACAGAGGAAGCTGAGCAGGAGGGAAAACAGGTCAGAGAGATGAGATCCCAAGCTCACTGACATTGGAACTGCACTAGGCAGGCTTTCAAAACCTGCTTTTAGGAGTGCAAACTGTCATGAACAATGGGAAATCCAGGAAAAAACATATTTTGAGGTTTGCTGGCGTAAACATATCCTGTGGTCTCACATAACCATGTTGCTTTGGCAGCTTGATTATAAAGACTTCAGTTCCAAGGTGGGAAAATGCTCTCTTCAGTTGTGGGTTTAGCACAGGACATGCTCTGGTGTTTATACAGAACAGACACAGACACACCACAGCTTTTAAACAGTGTTCCTAAGGTGAAACTGAAATATAACACCACCCATCTTACATAAGTTTAGTATCACTTTCCCTGAAAGTGTAGTCTTTTGTAACTGCAAAAAGGAAGCTGAAATGTTGCCTCATATTGTGGATCTTTTTTTCTGCATTTAGAGACATACATATATTTTATTTATTAAAGTACTTAGGGCTTGAAAAGGCCACTAATAGGTCCAGTATTGCTCCTCCAGTCACTGCAAGAAATTTCTGTCCTGATCAGAGGGCACCAATGTAGTAAGTTCAGAAAAAAAGAAAGATTTTAGGATACTTCAATACAGCTCCTTGAAATAATGTTGATTTCTTTTAACAAACACAGGTTCATTCTACTAAAATGATGGATTTTTGATGGATTATATGGATGGAAGTGTTGGAAAAAAGAGATGCTCACCAAAGTATTAACAGATTCTGAAGCAATGACCAGCAGTAACTAGAGTAAAAAAAGGTGATTTTGTGATTAGGGAGCATTCTAGATGTATCCTTAAGGCATGTGACTTGGTTTTTACATAAAAGCCACCTAAATCTTAAGACAATCAAAAGAGAGAACTGAAGAAGCTAATTTTTGAGCTAAACAAAATGCTGTTTCCATTTAACTTTTTACATTTTTACCTGAAACTGTGTTTCTGACATCCTTATTAGAGCTACAGTTTATTTTGTCTGGTTCAGGAAAGAATTGAGTGCATTAATGGAACTTTTCTATTTCCAGATTAACTGCTTTGAAAGTGAAAAAGAAGTCACCTTTATTGTAAAGCATAAACCAAATGTATTCAGGGTCCTCCAGCTGCTGTGCTGACATGGACTGGAAGGTTAAGTGAAAAGTGACTGCAAGTGCAAGGGACTTGTAAATACTTTTATTGATTGCAGAAACACCAACCTTCAAAGTCTCAAGTCTCAATGCTGTGATAGCACTAAGATTACCATATTGAGAAATGTAGGTATTATATTTAGGACATTTTCTCACAGCACTTTTATTTCAGACTTAAACTCCCTGCCTTATGTAATCTTACAGGGCAGCACTGCCAGATTAACAATTGGTGTACACTGACTTGCTTGGGTATATTCTGAATTAAGCCAGACCAATCTGTTTTGGAATT